TCCACAGGGATTAGCGAAGGCCGCCTAAATACTGTGATGCACAACCAAAGCAAAAGAGAGATCAGGAAATGGAAAACGCGGGGATCTTCCTCAGAAGGGCGGCACGGGAAGGGGAGGGCTGGCAGCCAGCCGGGGGGGCGCAGGAAGATGGGGCAGTACAGCAGGACAATTTATGAACTGGGAAAAGAGACCAAAGGGGAAGTGGGAGAGGCAGTTGCTGTCCCTGTACGTGGTGTTTCCTGGGAAATGCAGAGTATGAGACAAAGCTAACACGCTCCCAGTCCCTTCAGGTCACAAGTTCAGTCACCAGGAAGAGGTACCGAAGGCAGTCACCTGTCAAGTAGGTTAGGGAGCAGCTCTTCAATTCTCTCTTTAACTTCCACTTCCGATGAACATTTTTTAAAGGAATCTTCATCACTGAAGGTCTGAAAAAAAAAACAAAACCAACAAACCACACATTAGTCCTTTCAATTTTGTATTTACTTCAAAATTCTGAAGAGGGAAAAAAAGCATCACAACTAAGTGTGTAGGATTAACTCCAAGATATCTTTGACACTCTGAGCTCAACTGAATTTCAGGAGAATTATACATTAATTGGAGTTGTACTAGAGAATACACAGAGAAATGTTCATTTTGGTTGGTCCAGCAAAGCTGTATGAAACCAAAAGCGGGTTTTTTGCTCCGTGTAAAGTACTCGAGAACAATCCTTGTACCTGAGGCGGGCCCGATGGAGTCACAGGGGAGTCATCTTCTCCGTAGCTGAGTTTTTGGATACGCTGCGCAATAGCAACACCTAGTTCCTTCTCTAACACAGCAGGTGGAAACACTTGGAGATCACACACGTTCCTAACACCCAGCATTTCAAGACGTTTGGAGGTTTTGTAGCCGATGCCTAAATAGAACATATATGAAAAATACACAGAAAAGTGAAAACTTATACACGTATGTAAAAACTGCCCACCGACGCAGTACTGATGTTATTTTCACTACGGCAATGCAGGCTTTTCAGCAACATTTCTGACGGGTTTCCATTCCAGTCTGCTATTGGAAAAGCCATACTGGGACGAAGCAAAGGTCTGGCTGTGTCTGTAGCCTACATCAGTGCTTCCTGGCCAACAGCATGGTGTCAGCGTGGAACAGTTAGGAGAAGTGCTTCCTCAAGAGCACTCCATCAGGCTCCGAGAGACTGTTTGAGTAACTACCAGTAGGTTTCCAGTCAGCAAGTTTGCATTTAAAACCCACTGTCAACCAGTGTTGGGGCTTCAGCAAGAACCGACGGGTGGTAGGGGTTTTGAAGGTATCTCGTGAGGCGCTGCAACGCATTTATGTCACAACCAAAAATGAAGAAAACTCCTCCGGCTAAGCAAAACTCGTACAGCTTGTGAGAAAAAGCAAGAATCCTATACACACACCCGCAACCCCACCGCTGCCGGCTTGCGAGAACCACGCTTTCAGGTAATTTCAGCTGTGATTCTTCTCACGTCAACATGCCCCCCCATCGGTGCTCACAGCACCATACCTACCAGGCACCTTCTGGATGTGATCCAGGCTGCGTATTAGATCTTGACAGCTTTCAGGCAGAAGCAGCGTTTGCTGATTTGGTTTGAAGGTCCCCGATACGAGTTTAGACAGTAGTTTGTTAGAGGCCACTCCTGCGCAGCCTGTGAGGCCCAGTCTCGCGTATATGGCTCCCCTGAACGTTTCTGCAATCTGAGACCCAATCACGAGTCTCAGGTGCATTGTATCATGCAAATTGATCGCTGCAGAGAAAAGGAAAGCCGTGTTCAGTATGCAAACAGTCACCTCGTTAGCTAACTCTCTAGATTGAGACGTATTTTACGTTGCAGGACGGGAGCACGAAGCGTGGTCTCATGGGTCAAGTGGTATTGCCATGGCTTCTGTACCCAACTTTAACCTCGCTCCTGTCTCCCAGAAACACTGGTGAAGGGAGACTCAAAACCAGGGGTGTACTGTTCAGGGAGCGTGATGTTTAGGGAGTATTTTAAATACTAATTTACTATTTTAAATATGAAGTGTAGCAAGAGATGTCAAATGAAACTGTTTAATATCACAGAATCTGGTAGCACTGTAGTCCAGGGAGACGTTCACAAGTCTCTGATTTATAGGGCTGCCTTGCAGCTAAGCTTTTGTTACCCGCACGCAAGTGCCAGACGAGGAAAAGAGCTGCTGGGGCATTTCCTTTCTCTCCAAACCGTATTCGGAGCCATCGCAGCAGCTGAAAGCCCAGGAAAGAACGAACCGCTTTCCTTCCTAGAGCGTGACATGAGTCTCACGGCACAGCTACTGCCTTCACGTCGGACGGCGTACGGAGCAGCTCCCTTACCTACTCCAGTCTCAGTAAGTCTATTCCTGACCTAATGACCATGGCAAAAATTTACTCCATTTTTTGGGGTTTATTCGTTACAAAACTCACTCAGTTTGCCAGCTGACAACAACATTCAAGCTAAAATAAAATTCTCTGCCTTACTACTGTAAAACTACTTTGAAAAAAGTAGCACAGTGAAAATCTGTCCTCCCAAATCACCAGGCATCTCACCTACCACAGAGATTCACGTTTTACACAATCGGATCGGGACGCTGAGTCACGTTTGCGACACATGCGCTCAGAAATGCAGCAACCGAGCACAGAGCAATACAAGTGCCCAACCGTCCCGCTCTGGACAATCCTTAGAAGCAGGCAGATGCTCGGTGCTGAACTCCACCGGCGCTGGAGCGCGTGTTGCAGCCGGGGTGTTTCACTTGCCTTGGTTGTTGTACACGTGGCCGGACACACAGGCTCTGGAACATCCACTGTGATGTAGCTGGTTCAGCCTTTTCTCTACAATCTCTGTGATATCCACAAAATTTTCATCGAATCCAAGCCTTTCCACCAGTGGACAAAACTCCACCAACAACTCTAGGAGGGAAAGAAACCAAAGGATAACACGCACACAGCTAGTAACGGGGGTTATTTAAGTCCGAATCAATCCACAGCTGATTTCCCATGGATTCAGGTGGGATGCTTGCTTGAAGAGAAGCCATGTTCTCTTCCAGATAGAATAATAAGGCACTTATTTAGAGAAAGTGAAGAGGAATATTTCTTCAGCTCACAACTACCTCTGTCATCTGCTTTTCTTCTCCCCAAATCTTTCTTTGCTCACTTCTTTTTGAAACTGTAGTCCTTCAAGAGTCATAACATGGAAGGGGTTGGAAGGGACCTCTAGAGACCATCTAGCCCAGCCCCCCCTGCCAGAGCAGGATCCCCTAGAGTAGATCCCACAGGAACAAGTCCAGGGGCTTTGGAAAGTCTCCAGGGAAGGAGACTCCACCCCCTCTCTGGGCAGCCTGTTCCAGGGCTCTGTCACCCTCACAGGGAAGAAGGGTTTCCTCATGGTCAGGCTGAACCTTCTGTTTCCCAGTTGATGGCCATTGCCCCTCGTCCTGTCACTGGACACCACTGGGAAGAGCTTGGCCCCATCCCCCTGACACCCCCCCTTTAGATATGGATAAGCATTGATAAGATCCCCCTCAGCCTCCTCTGCTCCAGCTGAACAGCCCCAGCTCTCCCAGCCTTTCCTCATGTGGAAGGTGCTCCAGGCCCCTCATCCTCGTCGTGGCCCTGCGCTGGCCCCTCTCCAGTAGCTCCTTGTCCTTGAGCTGAGGAGCCCAGAACTGGACACAGCACTCCAGGGGAGGCCTCACTCAACCTGCTGGCCACGCTCCTCCTAATGCATCCCAGGATTACCTCTGCAAGGAAATCTCTTTCCCAGCTAGGCGGGCTTTCCCTTTTAAGTTACTACTATGTCACCTGCTAAGACTGCTAATGATGAAAGCAGTGATCAGTGGCAATGCTGGGGCATCATTTAATTAAGAGGTGCTGGAGAAGCTCACCCACCCGAAGGTCCTCCACGGATCCCACCTAACACCAGTGCGATGCGTTTGCAGTGCCTGACCCACACAGCAGCCAGCTCGAATGGCTTATTTTACGAAATACTGACACTGCGAGCAATATCGCCACAGTGTGAGGCCCGTGCCAGGAACTTTTACAGCAGAAGAATGTCATATACTACTGCACACACGTGCACGTGCACACAGAGTTTAACAGAAAGTGTTTGTCCTCTACTGAAAAACTTAGTTTTATACCTGTAACCTTGTATGACATTTCCCTGTATGGGGTTAGATCTTCTCCGTTGACCAGAATCAGCTGAGGACACTTCGCTTTAGCATCCCTGACAGACATCAGCTTCTTAACTCCGAGTTTTCTGGCTTCGTAGTTACAGGTAACAACGATGAATTTCTGCTGCACGCCTGAAAACAAAAGGTCAGCTGTTTTTTAAAGTTTAGGTTTCTTGGTACTTCACAGAAAGCCGCGGTACTTTCGTGCCACCGTGAAGCCTGCGGAGCATACGCCTTGACCAGAACGCAGCACCACGGAGCAATCAAGCACAACAGTTGTATGAGAAGGACAGATCTCCCGAGTCAGATTACGGGGCGGTAAAAACATTTTAAAAGGTTACAGATGTTTCTTCCCATTGTGATATTAATGTTGGGCCTTTCCAGGCAATCTTACCCATGAAAATGTTCCTTACGTAACAGTTACTTTAGGGTGTACGTTCTCCACTGACTGTAGACACGACGGACTGCCTCGCGCGCATTCCTAACTTCCGGACGGAATAAAGCTTGAGGCACGACTGTGTCAGAAGGCTCCGGCTCATCCACGGCGCTCAGCCCTCTCCCTGCCCACGTACGTTACAAACCAGCTTCAGTCCCCAGAACTGCTCAGACACGTCTGCAAGTGCCCGTAGGTGTGCTCGAGAGGATTTATTATCTTGCGGTCACAGCTACACAGAGTCTCGACTGCACCTTGCTCGCTCTGGACGCGGCAGCAGTTCCGGCGCGACTGCGCGTATCTCACCGCACAGGCATGTCCTCAGTCTGCGCACGCCCTTGGCTCCTCTTGCCTGAATGCACGTAATCCCCAGATTAACAGCAAAGGAACTCGTACCTAAAGGCTTGTCTCTTAACTCTGGATTACGGATCATTTCTACTTGTGCATAGAAGCAGTCCAGGTCAATGTGCACAATCACTCTGCACGCTGCGCGGCCCGCCGACGCAGAGCTGCTGTGGCCTGCTGCAAGGAGAGCGAACGGACAGATTAGAAATTAGTGGCTGCCTTACACGTGATGCAACATTTAAAAAAAAAATTAATCCATCCTAATAAACAGGTATTACAGGAAGAATATAAAATTTACATGTTTTATACTAATTCTAGCACCGCATTAATTCCAGGATTACTTGTGAGCGTCAACCCAGGTTACTACTAACACTCCCGATTTCGGGGGGTCGGTCGCATTAGCTTTTCACTACAGCATTTCAGAACATCGCTTTTTTGATACAATATCCTTTCACACTGGAACACTGAAACTTTTTAATGGATTTCTGTGAATTAACGCCTTTAACTCCGCCAGGGTAGCTCTACGGGATACCTGCCTTTCCCAGGGGTGTCCAACAAGGACGGCAAATCGGCATCCAACGAGTGCCAAACTCTTGCCTTGGAAACAAGCCCAAGATAAAGAAAAATGCAGAAAAAAAAATACAAAAAAGGGCTTTTATTTCTCTAGCTGAAAATAACCCCAGTGGGGGTAATGATATAGTGCAAATGGAACCCTGGCCTCTACGCCCTGTTCTGGGGGCGGTGTTTTCGGTGCCCACCGAGCCC